TTATGTAATGATACTTAGCATAATTACATATATGTGTATGCATATATATACATATGTAAAGACATCCATATATATTCTAGAAGTAAACATCAAGAAGTCTGAGGAAAGGGTGTATTTTTAATGCTCATTATTTCATAGACTCATTTTGTTTTTTCTCTCTTAAACAGACCTCTCTTGTATGGAATTCTCTCTCATTTCTTACGTGATGGTAAAGATGAAAGTAACCAGAATACCCCCGCAAGAATGACTTTGCTGAATTATCCAAAGCAGAACTTTGGCAAACCACCTACTGATAGAAATTAAAAAGGTGGGTGTTCTGTCATTTTTGCTAGTTTTATTTGTGACCAGATTTTCTGTACGGTACCTATGCTTATAACAGCATAAACATGCAGATGAACACACTGTAACTCCTCTTCTGTGCAAGAAATGCTTTGCAGTGACATCTCTCTTGAAAAATTCTTCAGCAGAATGATGTTTATACTTCAAAAATAGCATTAAGCTGTGTGACCTGACCATAGCTGTTGCTCATGTATTCATTTAAGAAAGACCCTTTATATGTGCCTTTGTTCAAATAAGTGACCAGCTTACACCAGCTCTCTGCTGGTATGCTAATGGTATGCCAGTTGGCCTTGGAAGTGCTTGACTGGCCTTCAGATGTATCAGTGGTAGAACTTTCTCATACATGGGAATGTATTTTATTTATAAAACAGACATTTGAAAGTATTGCAGACAGCCAAGTTTATATGATTTTTCGACTGTGACACTCCTGTTACCTTGTGGTACTTGTAGCTAGCTACTTGTTAGATACTAATGGGAAGGGGAAAAAAAAACCCTAACTGTTTAGCTTTATTCTGTTAAGACTTTTGGACTGTTGGAGAGCTCATTTAAAACAAACAGCAGTGCTATTCTGATTTTTAGATGGTAGAATATCTGTCGTAACCTGTATGCTTTTACAGACAAGGTTTACTGCTCTGCCATTGTTGGTAAAGACCAGAAAATATTAATGTTCCAGTTCTCAGGATCAGAAAGGTCATCCACCAGATTGCTTTGCCATTTCCCTAAAAGTTAAACTGGCCAAATTGTAGTCCCTTACAGCATTACATATCTGGAGTGGGTCAGCTAGAGACTGTCTTACTACACTGGGAATTTAATACAAGAACTTAATTCTCAGCAAAATACATTAAACAGTGGGTGTATCTCTTTGTTTTTTATCTGCTCTAAATTAACTGATTTCTGTAGGAAGTGCTTAAACTTCAGCTGTCAATTCTGCATATGGGCATAAACCTTTGCTGAGGACATAATTCACATCCCTTTGACTGCAGAAGCTTAAGCTCCGAGTTTATTGCTCTATGGCAGAGCACTGCTAAATCTTAATTTTGCTTTTCTGGTCTGCGTTTTGATTGGTTACAGTTAGTAATGCTTAAGCTACAGAATGAAAGGGATTGTTGGTCCAGGTTTTTCCTTCAGAGTCGGCTTGGCCTGTCACTTTTTGAGAATTTAGTACTGTTGCCTTAGTACTATCAACTATTTATTTTGTATCCAAAAATTTGAAAAGTACGAGGCCTGAGGTATTGCTGTCATCTAAAAAGTGTGAGAGAAGTACTAAACACCTTTTCTTAACAGTTAATTGCGACAATGTTGTTTCCCTCCTGCCAGAAGAGGGGCTGAGGAAAGGAAATTTCAATACCAAAGCTGTTACGAATTGTTTCTTTGTTAGAAATAATTATTTGTATCAGAAATTTCTAAATTATTTTGGTTTTTAAACTCAGTGTATAGAAGAACTGTTTCTAAAGTATACCTTTGTACCTCAGTTCTGAAACTGACTCTGCGCAGGGTCACCTTCCCCTGTTGACTCCAGTATAATTTCATGTGGGGATTTAGTTCAGAGTTAGTTACAAAACTCAGGATTAATCGTAAGACATGACAGCATATTGCTTTTTGAACTAAACGGCAGCTTTAAGGCTTTTAACCTTTAAGTAGCTATAGTCTGAAAACTCCTTTCTGCATGTGTTTGTGGAATATGTCAGCAGAGACCTAAAAGCGGTGGGCTTAAAATACTAAATATATATTTTAATTAGGCTCCATATTCAGGTAATCTATCCATTCATAAACTTAACCCACCAAGTCTCATACATAACGCCAACTTGCTTTACATACTAGAAGTTGTTTGCTTATGTAGTTGAATGAATATCCCAACAGACCAGGAATCCTGATAAAACACATGGACTCTGGTGTTTCTGTTACTTCATTCACTGTAGCCAGGTTGGCAGTTGTCTGGAATCTAACCTTTAGTGATGCAAAGCTCTTACCTCATATAGTTGCATGGAAGCATTTTTTTTGTAAAGTCACCAGTTTCCCATGATGATATTCTGTATCAAAGTTGATAATAATAGAAAATAACATTTATACGTTTAGATTTCCAGCTGCATGACAGTATGTGTGTTTCATTTTCAGATAGAATTCCAGAGCCAGGAAGGACAGCTGGCACAAGCATCGAAGAGCCCCTTGTTACACGAAGTATGAACAAGTGATATCTTTTGTATGCTAATTTCTCATGTAAAGTCCTGTAAGAGTTCATTTAGGAAATTCTTCTTCACATCCATTTCACCAATCTATCCAGTGGGACCACTTCAGCTTGTTAAATCTACCAATGAGACAGGATGACTTTGTCATACATACTGTCCATTAAAAAAATGCTAGCAAAGGCTCTTTCTCCAGTGCTGATACAAGCAAAACTGTATAAGAAGTTAGATTAGTGATGCCTGTCTCTAGAATTTAGTCTAACAATATACTTTATAAAAACAGGTTTGCCTTATAAAAATGTATGCGACAACTTAACACTTCTGCACTTTGTTTGTGTGTTTGTGTTTCTGAATAAATTTTTTCTGTTCTATTCAGTGTGGAATTTTTAAAGTGTTCAACCTAAATATCTGAATCACTCTTTTAAAAGGGGAAACTGCTACTTTCAGGTAAGTATGGGAAAAAAAAGTTGAATAGAAAATTAAAGTACTTTAGAGGAATAGATAGTTTTAGTTCTCCAGAATGCACACTATATTTATCTTCATGCCAACAAACACATGAGTGTAAGTCTTTTCCATCTGGAGTTGCTATAAGCTGTGTAACACTTACACAAGGAAGGGTAGAAACGTGGTTTTTCCCCAAAAGACCTGAAACTCAGGCAAAGCTAAAAATAAAGTTGATAACAGATTGCTGATTACCAGAACTTTTTTTAGCTGAGGTGTTTACAGGTTTTGAAATGGGCATTTATTTTAAAAGCCAAACTTATAGGGGTATGTCAGAAATAACAGGTTAGCTACTTATTTTAACAAAATGTATAGACTTTAATGCATCAAATGATACTGAGAGGAGTTTTGTATAAATATATTTTAGGGTTGCATTCTTAAAAATCTTAACTGTTATACAAATGGTACAGTAAGTGGGAAATAAAGAGAGTTAAGAGGACATGCAGTTTGTGAGTTTAAGTGAAAGGACCCCAGGTTGTACACACCTCAGAGTTTTGCTTTTATCTTGATCAGACCCAGTTGGTGTTACAGGTGTTTTTTTTTATTTGTGAAGCAGCCTAGCCTCTACTGTGATGTGAAACTGCAGACGAGCTATATGCCGAAAGGAAGTGTTGCGTTTTATCCACTTGAAGCCTCAGTAGTGAGTTCACCCTCTCTGTGTGACTGGCAATACTGCTAGCTCCCCATTTCCTGATACGTAAGTATCTCAGGCCTCTTGCCAGGAGGGGAGGACATGTGCTTGCAAATCCACCTCAGTCAGATCCATCTTTTAAGTCTTGTAGCTTTCTGTCAATTAGAATTGACCACTGGGTCAGACAAGCAAATTTGTCTCTGTGCCCTCAGTGTTTGCTCTGTGCAAATGTGTTGGCACCATTGTCAGGTTCAGCCACTTGGCTGAAGAGCCATCCATGTGGAAACTACCACTGTGGGACTCTACCTCATTACTCAGTCTTTCCTACCACATCAGTGCTAATATTCACAACCACTGATCTCTCAGTTTCTCTACCTATAAATACAGTAGAAAAATGGTCTTCTAAGGTGTTATTTGTGAATTACCTTCATTTTTAAATGTGCTAAAAGTGCCTCTACGAAAAGTTGCGAAAGTGAGCTTTGAAACAATGCAGGTACGATTCCCTGGCCACAGAAATCCCTGAATTTTTAACTTCGCGTTTCCAGAGGTTAACTGCTAGATCCCTGTTTCTCCATAAACCAGTGGATGAAATTGTTACGTATCTGAATTTTCTCTTCAAGGGCAAGGAGAAAAGCTCTGGGAAACACAGAAGCTCTAGCGTTCTATGATGCAAATCCTCCAGTGTAACCCAAGCCATTGCATCTGCTTTCTGTCTTCCCACCGCAGATCATACAGAAGCTGACCAGGTGTCATGGAGCTCCCTGGGAAATGGATTTTTCATGGTGGAAGTTAAATACAATTTTTGTTCTGGCTGAGTAAGGCAAAGCCCTATTGGGTACTTGCCTTTCCCAAGCACACAGCTCAGCAGACTTACAGGCTCGTGGTCTCCACAGCCATGACAGCAGAGGCTGTTACAAGAGTGTACTTACTAAGCTTTGGGGGGAAGGAATAGCTGTAATCAGAGGAGAATTCTATTTAAGGGAATTTCAGCACTATTTTCTTAGGGGATGGTTTCTTCAGCTCCTTGTCAGGATCCTGAGCTGGGATGGTGGGTGGAAGCTGGCCTGTTTGCTCTTGGTGCAACGTGCTTCATCTAATCCTCTTAATACCCTCAGAGCCCAGATTTGAGCATTTGGGACAATCTCTTGTTTTAAAGTATAGCCATTGTACAAGCCAATTAAACTAAAGTGTATTTCCCTAATATTTATTTGTACAACAAAGCTTTGAAATATTTCTATGAAAATACATTGGTCTAATCACATTATTAATGGTCTAGCATTTATCCTGACAGCACATGAAATACGAGAGCATCTTTCAAGATGCAGATGTGGCACATCCTATTAATGTCAGCCTGCTTACTCTCTAACAGATGAATTCCAAGGCCTTTGCAGCATTCACACTTCCCAAAAACTAATTCCTTAAAAGTTTGAGCTAAGTGAGATCAGTATTTAGAGGAAAATAATTCACAATCCTAGAGTCACAGGTTCAGGTTTTAGACAAAATTGCCATGTAGGTGAGCATGCACAAAAATTGTTTCCTCCAATAATCAAAGAAACTCCATCTAGCTTCATTACAGACTGTGATGTCTTGCATTAACTGCCCTTGGTCCTTCTACTGACATCAGAAAGTGAAAGGAAAAAAGAAAATATATATAAGCATGTAGAAGTTTGGGGACTTTGATGAGCAAAATGCATTTCTGAGGGGTTTTTTTTTGAGATAGAACACTAGCTCAGACTGTTACAGAGGAACTACGTTAAAAAAGGCTGTTCGTTGTCCAAGCATGGTGTCACAAGTGAAGGCGACAAGGAGCCAGTGAAGTTTGGTGTGGTTATCAGAGCTGGAAAGCACTTTGGAAGAATTTAGAAGATTAAAAAACAAAATCTTTAAAACCAAATTTCTGCTCTCCCCTAGAACCAGAAGAAACCGTCTATGGACTCCAGAGGTATTAGTTTCTGTCATGCACAAGGGAAATTTTTGTCTAAACTTTTATCAACACGCTCCAGGGACTCAGTTACGCTTTCCTTCCTGAGCACCCTTTGTATCAAGCTGAATCTTGGTGTCAGCTGATCAGTTTTCCGGAGGAGTGATTATCATTGGGTGATTAGGAAAAAATAAACCCAAATACTTGCTCACACTTGCAAAGACACCCTTTCAGTAGCAGCTGGTGTCCAATTGATTCAGAACTGACCTGTGTGCTTCACATACTTCACTTGACCTGCAGCCAGCATTAACCACAAAGCTGAATATTAAATGATGGTGAGTATTTTACCTCGTTAGAGTACTCTCATGATGAATTGTTCTAGTTTGGACACAGACTGCCCCTCCTGTTGCAAGAGAGCAGCTTAACACAGGCGGTAACCCACCGGGGTGCTTGTCAGTTCCAATTACATTTGTCAGCTTAGAGAAGTGTGGTTGGTAAACTTAGGTAAAAACATTTAAAAAGTTCTTACCTGACACACATTATTTAACAAATTATCATCTCCATCCGTGCTTTGCTTTTTTCCTTCCGTTGTATTCAGGTTACACTGTAGTAGTGCCGCTGAAAGTTCATTTCTTTCCTGATCGATTCCCCTAGGTTTTTCCCCAAGTACAGTATTTACAGTGCAAATACATCAAGGAGATATTTAAAAGCTGCTCAATATTTTTTCTAGACAAGTGGTTGTAACAAATAAAGCAGAGGGTTTAAATAAAGTGAATTTTCTGCCACAAAGGCATTCTTCACTGGAAATTCACAGCTATAACTGTGAAACAACTTTATTTTAAAGAAAACCCAAACCACAATTAGGGAACTCCATCTGGGCTACTATATTAGTAGATTCTTACATCAACTTCTAAGTGAAGTTTGGAGACCACTTTTACACTTGATCAGTTCCTGCCCCACATGGCTCCAGAGCACAACCATTTCAGTTCCAGCAGTAATATTTCTTAGGCTCTCCAGCTCCGTTTAATGTCACGTCATATATCACCCTCCACCGCTGCCTCTGTTAAACACACTCCTCAGGCAGCAAGCCTGCACGTGCACATGCAGCGCCCTGCAGACCAGCCAGGATAATTTCCACTCCTTTTTAAGCTACTATTAAAATGTGTCTGGTTTTGCAAAACCATTGCATGGGTTTAAAAGGAACTTTTTAGGATAACTTTGATGAATGTTAAAATGATTGTAATTTACAGAGGATCCTGTTGCATTTCATTATTTCATAGTACTTATATTCCTATTTAAAAGCTACGTTTGCAACTGAGAAACTGAAATAAAAATAAAAACAGGGTGGACTACCCTGTGAGGAGTTTCCTGCTAACAAGGGCGAGTTTCTTGGGTTTACGTCCTGGCGATCATTTCCCTTGGCTTTGCTCCAGCACAGTCACACGTGCACGAGTCTGATATGACACTGCTGCCTTTCAGGCCCTGGGAGGGCTTTGCAGTGTCCGCACCTCAGTGGGCACTGACCCTCCATCTGGAAGGACAGACTGCAACTGCTGGGATTGTGTGACTGTGTTCAGCTAAGACCTGAACATGAGTCTGTACCTGACATTTCTGAAATGACGTAGGTAAAAACCCTGACGCTCTTCCCCTCTCTTCTCTTTGCCCAAATTTGTTTACCACTGGCCAAAGCTGGAGGAAGGGGCTACAGGTCCATCATACCTGCAAGTGCTGGTACTTTGACAAAGTCGCAGCAGAGGTTTTCAGCCCAGCCTCCCCTCAGAGGTATTTTTTTTAGGACAGAGACCAACATGAGTGTTCAAGGCCAGGTTGGACAGAGCCTTGGGTGACATGGTCTGCAGGGGTTGGAACTACATGATCTTAAGGTCCTTTCCAATCCTATCTATTCTATGATCCTTATCCATCTTCCTCAGGAGGGTTTATTTTCCAGAGAAGACGGGGCTATTCATGTCAAGAGAAATTATTTCACCCAGGACTGCGCTCTGATCCTTTGGGCATACACCATATTTAGTCTGTTGCAGAGAGAGGGTTGTTTCGGTATTTTGTATTTGGCACATTGATGGGAGTTCCTAGAGGATCCTAGCTTTCCCTTTTTGGGATGTCTCCATCCACAGGTCCTACTGCACAAGGCTGTTGGCTACTAGCACGGGAAGGAGGGGGGACAGCTGGGGACTGAAGGTTTGGGGATGTGAGAAAGGTTTGACAAGGACCAGATCACTCCCTAACCCTTGCAGGGCTGGCTCCCCTATCCTCCTCTCTCCCCCAGCTCACAGTGCCTGCTGCCTGTTCTTTCCACTGTATCCTGGGGACTGTTCCCCTCAGCTATTTATCACTTCTCTTCTTCCTTTTATGGACAGAGGGAGGTATTTCTTATATATGATAAAGTATTTACAGTCCTTTCTCAAGAGCTGAGCTCTGCACTGGATTGTGAAAGAAACTGAAAAATCCTCCTGGGGAGGTGGGAAACAACCCTCTAGTTCCCCAGGGGCAAAGGAGGCTTAAACCAGCCCTAGGCTCCAGATGTCACATAAACACACAGAGACCCAGGGCAACCTCCACCCACGCATCCCTGCTACACTGGGAATAACCCTCCCCTCCCAAGCATCCCCTGAACTCAGGGATTAATCTTAGCTCCAAAAAAGCACATTGTCATGGGTGGGAAACCTGTAGTGTGCAGGATCATGACCTACCCTTTGTCCTTCTAGGCAGGGGGCCACACCAGGGTGAGGATGCTGCCAAGGCAGGAAGGAGTTAAAGGCCCATTGGCTCGGCTGAACAGCTTCACCCTAGGAAAAAGAAAAACCTCTAAACTTGTGAGTTAGGGGCACCCCTTCCATGCCTTCCTGAAAGCCAGAACCAGCCTGCTTCCCTAAAAAGTGGCTTGGGGCAGGGGCAGCAGCCCAGGGTTAGGCCCTGCTGGGAATGAGGTACTTGGCTCAGGCTGCCTTTTTTAACCCAGGTACCTAGAGGATTTTCCAGCAGGACGTGGTTTCCAGGGCCCCTCCCCATTGACAAGATTCTCCTCCTCTATATAGGGAGGCTGCAAAGGCAGTGAGGACTTGGACTGTCCCGGCTGGTGGCTGTACAGGTTCCCGACTCTCCAATTCACTCTCTGCTCCCCTAATTGGAAGCTTGTAAGTACTGCAGGGGCCAGAAATCTCTGCTGGGATGGGGCTGGGGGCTTAATGCGCACTTTAGCAAGCTGGTTATTATGCTACTTTGAAAATAGATTCAGTGAATTAATGTGCAAATAGCATAGAAATTGAAAATGGGAACAGACATGATCAAATGGTTTATCCTGACTTGTGTATTTCTGATGGGTTCTGTTTAAAACGCGTTAGGGACCACGCACGTTTGAAAGCATGCACAGATGTCCTAGCCTTAGTCACTTCTAACACTGCTATTGCTGAATCGAGCCTTCAAGACACTGGCTGCAAGAGCACAAGCTGTGCTCCAAGGCAGTAGCAGCACAGCCTGCAAGGTGCTGTGCGCTACTGGATGGAGCAGGTATCCTCTGCAATTAATCATCACACGTGCATTTGGTAATGAAGAAACCTGGCAGCCTGAGCTGCTGATCTTTAAGTATTTCTACATTTCAGTCCTTAGGATGGAACTTAGTGCACTTCCCATGCTGTTTAAAGAAAGTATAATGAAATAAAATAATTTCTTTGCCCATTACTTGTTCTTTAAACAGGGAAAATGCTCAAAAATGAAAAGAGAAAATGGAAACATTTTTACAAAAATGCCTTAGGATTACATATGTATGTTTTTAATATGCTGGGAATAAAGCTTAAGCAAAGCTGATCTGTTAATTCATTGAACTACAGTAGTTCGAGTTATTTCAAATGTGACATGCCTGTTGTTTTTAAAGGGAAAATAAGGCAACAAACTTTTAACAAAATACCGTAAGTTAAGAGGACAGTAGATGGCAGCACAGAAAGCAGCTTCAGTATCATCCCAGAACTTGTTGCTTCTTTCGCACACCTAAATACGTTTCTGTGTGTGTATGTGTGCATGCACACCTATGTAAATGCTGATATGTATGGGAGAGGCATGTGTGTGCAAAAGTAAGAAGCAACCCGAGATATTTTAAATACAAGGGAAATCAGAAGGGTTGTCATTATTATCTAACACATAAGTCTCAGTAAAACCTTTTCTAAAGTACACTAGCTTAAAAACAAGCCTACCTTCTCTTTCACTCAAAGCTTTGCCCTGTCAGGCAGCCTGCAACAAGACTCTCTGGATGGACCGATGCACTGAACTCCTAAAGTTCATGGGTCCTCAAGTCACCGATTCAAAGGCTGAAACGATGAACCCCAGAGAGCAAAGCACTTGATTAAGTAGTCACTTACAGCCGGAGCAGTACCATGGGCTGATTTGCTCAGATGTAAACAATGATTTTTATTATCTCATTTGCCATTGACACACTAGTCCCTAAAAGGTATTTGTTTTGAATGTGTTATCATTACATTTTTGCAGAACAGCAAGTATTGAGAAGAACATCACCATATATGGTAGCATGCATGGATGTATGCAGAGGATCCCGGCTCTTTATAATTCACTGGGACTTATTAGTTGCAAATCAGTTGGCTTTTCTTTTAAGTGTATTAATTTTAGAAGAAGCCAAGAGCCAGAGATAACTTTCAAACTTGTTCAAAGTCTACTCAAAAATATGGAATATTTATGAATTCTAATGACCATGCAGAATCTGATTCACTTAATAGAGTAACATTGGGGGGTATTTGAAACAGCTGTCATTTTCCAGATAGATCCCTTTTATCTCCATGTGATGCAATTCAAGTCTTTTTTTCCTTCTTTTCTAATTTTTGCAATTACTAACATAGGTAATAACCCTGGCCAGTCTCTTTGGAGTATTAAAAGAGCTATCAAGAGTTCAATCAGAGTTATGTAGTAACCTGCATTAACAGAGACCTCATAGGAGACTGAGGCACTTGCAGGCAATTTGATTAAAGTACATGGAAAATGCATCAAGAAAAAGCCAAACAAAAAAAAAAAAACAAAAACAAAACAAACAACAACAACAACAAAAAAAAAAAAAAAAACAAAAACAAACCAGACACAAAACCCCACAAAAACCAGCCCTGTGAAATTACTGAAAATGTTCTTTCTTTAAATACAGAGTTGCCCTCTTTCGTGGTTGAACAACCATAAACTAGTCCTGTTGATACCTCCACTGTCAGATGAATGTGTCCATGATGAAAGTAAGCATTTGAGGGGTGGTCCTGGTGACCAGAGGGAGAGGTGAAAGGCCAGAAGGGACTGATAACAGTGCTCGTAACAAAGCTAACTGTGCTCGGAACCAGTTTCCAAAAAATCACAAGATTAGGGCTCACCTCTAGATTTTCTTTCTTTTCAAGCAATGCTCAGTTTGGTAATTCGGTTAATTACTGGGAAAGTAGAAGATGAGCAACCTGGAAAGGACATAGTCAAGAAGTGCAGTTTGAGTCAAGCAGCAAGTGGCTGCTACATGCTTCCATCAGAAACCACCTAGGAGAGCGGGACTTCGTTTCTGAACTTAATTCACATACTTGGTTATATGGTCCTCTGTTCTGAGAATTATTCCCTGTAGGGCTGTGATAAGCTTTGATATTGCACATCCTCTCCATCCTGCAGAGGAAGGCAGAAGTATCCTTTATCGTCTGCTTTGAAGATAAGCAGTCCCTCTAAGCTCTGACCTAGAAGGCAATTCTGCTTGGCCAATAACCTTTTAATTA